ATGTTTTCCTTGGTCTGCAGATGTCAAGTGCAAAGACAAAGATTTCACATATACATGAGCCCCGAAGTGGAAGATCTTGGTGACATCTTCCAAGCCATCAGCTTCCCTGAACCTTCTCCCCACACCTGGGCAGGCATGTGGTGGGAAGGAAATGAGCATGCGCGTGCTGGCGTCCTTTTCTTTGTTTTGTGTATTATAATCTCAGTGTTGCCTTGCTCACCATCAGAAAACCAAGGGGGTTTAGAGAAGAAGAAGAAAGAAGTAAGGATAAGAATTGTTTCTTGCACCCTTCTTGAAGATCAGGAGAGGATAAGTCTATAATTTAACTTCTTAAGCATCATGGAGTTTTCTAGGTTCCTTGTACAAATGAATAAAGGAATGCTGACTGGCAGGGCATACCTGAACCCTGAGGCTCCCAGTGCTTCCTGATTCAGAATCTCTCCATTCAGAATGTCTCAGATCCCAGACAAGTGATTAAGCGCTGGTCCCAGGTGGGAATTAACACCCTGACCAGGCAGGGCTGGCATCAAAGAGATGGCTCTCCCTGAGCAAAAACACAGATGTTGCCAGAAGTGGTGGTGTGTGTCTGTAATGCCAGAATTTGGTGGTGGGGATGGGGTACAGGGAAGAAGATCAAGAATTCAAGGTCAGGGACTGGAGACACGGCTCAGCAGGTAAGAACAGTTGCTCTTGCAGAGGACCCAGGTTCGATTTCCAGGACCCACGTGGCCGGTACAAATGATTGTCTCTATGGTAACTCCAGTTCTAGGAGATCCAGTGCCTTCTTTGTCCTCCATGGGCAGCAGGCACACATGTAGTACACAGACATGCATACAGGCAAAGCATCTATATGTATTAAATAAAGCTATTTTTTAAAAAATTCAAGATCAACCTTGGCAGCATAGGGAGTTTGAGGCCAACCTCAGCTAGATGAGACTGGACCCTGTCAGGGGTGGGTCAGGATAGAGAAGAAGGAAGAAGGGGAAGAGGAAGCAGGAAAAGGAGGAGGATGGGGAGGAGAGAGAAAGAGAAAGAAAAAGGAAGATGAATGTTCTTGCCAGGTGGAAGACATAGTAAAACATACTCTTGAGTTAAAAGATGTCCTTGCCACCAAATAGGTTAAGAAAGTTTGTTTCCTGGAGGTTTGTGGGTTTTGGAAATGTGTGCAAAGGGTTGTATAGTCGTACTCAAGAACATTCTTTCCCTGAAGAACCATAGCTTCATGATATGCTCATCAAATATGCAGAGTTTGGTTGGTGCTCACATAGCATTCTGATCTCACCGTTTCTGAGTTTCTGATGATTCTCTTGTGCTACACTAGGTTTATTTTTGAAACAGTGATTTCAGGACAGGTGCTCCTGCCCTAAGCATACTTCAGAGACCCCGGTTTCTCCTCCAATGTATGGACATCTCATTTGACCCAAGGGGTCAATGTTATTTCCCAGATTTTAAAAAAAGATTTTTTTTTTTATTTCTAATGTGTGTGCACATGAGTGCAGTGCCCGTGAAGACCAGAAAAGAGGCATCAGATCCCCTGGAGCTGGTGTTACAGGTGGTTATGAGCCACCTGATGTGGGTTCTGGAAACCAAACTCAGGGCCTCTGCAAATGCAGTATTGACTCTTAGCTCTTAACCTCTGAGCCGTCTCTCCAGCTCCTCCTCGACTTTTCTTTAAGGAAAACACATGGTAGATTTTACCAACCCTTTTCTGGTGCCTAACTTTGTCCTTGATCATTTTATGTATCTTTGCTAAATATATTTTTTCTGTGATGTAGCAAGTTCTCTATTTGTCATATTGCTAGAGATCTTTTTATTTCTCCTGTAGATCACTCTCACTTCCCATGTTTTAGGTAGCCAACCACAAGCACATTATCTCAACATACCCCCCCCCCCAAAAAAAACCAGCACAGCCTTGAAATACCATTTCTATACTGGCAACAATAACAGTTACCTAAACTTTGTATATACAATCTAGATATTAAAAATAAGACTGGGGATTTTTTTTGTAAACAACTGATTACCTAAGAGGTTTCTTTTTAATTTTTTTTATTTCTGAAAACAGAGTATGACCGTGAACTGTTTTAGAGTATGTTTTAAGCTAGTGTTCATCAGTCATCCTGAACTCGGGGATAATGACAGCATGCATGACACAAGACTGGAACTTCCAGCATGTGTTAGGCTACAGCCTTGTAGAGTCCCAAGCAGCCACCTCTCCCATTGGGGTGACTCTTTCCCCACCCTAGTACTAACCAAGCCCATGATTCTTGGCTCCTAAGGGCAGAGGCACAACCTGGCTGTAGAACATTAGAACATTAGACTTTCTTATTTCCAGCTGCACATGTTGCCCTGTGCAGGGCTGACAGGGCTGGACATCTCTAAGTGACTGCAAGTGTTTATAAACAGGAAAAAAGGCAGAGCATTTCTACAGACTCATCCTCTGGGGATGCCTGGGAGTTGTGGATCCCTTCCAAAGTTTAATGGATTTGGACAGGCTTCACGCCCTGGTGACTTCTCCATATACGTTTCTGGGTAACCTTGCCCTGGAGGAGAGCAAGAGAATCCATGGCAAGCCTCAGCAAGGAAGTGAAGCCTGTGGCTGTCATTGGGAATGTTTGTTTGCCAACAAACCTGTGGTTGGTAGGGAAAAGGATCTCTTCCTCCTTGGGTTCCTTCCCCAAATATACTTTAGACGTGATGAGTGAGGAGCCTGAACTCAGGTTTCAGCTCCGTAAAGATACTGCTCATTGCTTCTCACAGTTCCAACAAATAAAACCCTACCCGGCAAAAGAGCCTATTGACATTTAAGACATCACCCTTGGCACCAATGAGCTGTTGAGCCAAATTTTTGTGTTCAAGTATCCACAGTTAAGTGGGCAGATAAGACCCTCTGTCCACCCCTGTGGATTCTCAAGTGTTTGGACAACTGAATGTTGGCTTACCTTGTGCCTTCCTGGCATGTAATTCTAAGACATAGTTGATAATCTCATTTTCCTAAGCACCAGGAGTTTCCCTCTTTGAATCTCCTTGGACCTTACTAAGCTATGATGGAAGGTCCTCAAAATTCTATCTTTTCAGTCTCATTGTCCCTTACATATGAGCCACACTAATTGAGCTCTTCCAATCACGTTACTCAGCTGCCTTGATGGTAAATATGAGTTCTGTACCCCTTTTCACACAGGGTCATCCCCAAAGCCCACTTTTACACCAGACCCAAAAAAGGCCTTCATTTTCTCGGAACTCTCATATTGCTTGTTTAAGTTAACATGCTCTAACTTTATTCCTCTGCCCACACTGCCAGTTATCTCTGAATGAACATCTCTTGTCTCATCCACCTGAGAACACATGTTGGGTGTGGACTGTGTTCTATCCCATCTGCGTCTCCCCTGGTACTTTCTTTTTTAACACTGAGGACTCCAGCTTACTGGCCAGTAGATGACAAATCCTTTCATTACTAAGCACTTGGATACATTGAGTCAAAGCATTCCAAGTTGAGAATTCCCTTCTGATTGGCTGCTTGAAGATGAATACATGAACATTCCTGTTCTTATTCTTAGTAAATTTGGAAGATGCCAGAAGTTCTAAAGTTACTAAACATCCTCATGATTCCTAGACACCACTGAAATGAGCCTGGATTATTGGCATGGTTTTCCCCGTTTGCATTTGGTGATGGAACTGCTGAGGGCATTGCTGTTGGTGTTGTTTTGCACTCGGGGTACAAAGAACTTCTGATCTTTAGGTTGACAGCATAGGTTTAAGGGTGACTACTTTCCAGTCACCCCAGGATATTGGTACCTGTATCTGTGGCCTTCCCATCCCATTCCACTTGCCTCCTCCTAATTTTTCCTCCTTTCCTATTTACTTATTGATCTCCTGTTCATTGCTTGTATGTGGTAAAGTCCAAGCTCCTGATGGCCAGTGTTTACCCAGCTCTATATGAGCAACACAAAAAGCTGCCAATATCCCAGATTAGTGCTATGGATCTAATGCAAGCCTCCACAAGATGAACCCTGGCAAGCCCAGCTGGTAAACTTGAGGCTTGGGAGTAGGCCATTTTAAGGAAACACTATTTAGATACCAGAACCATGTCCAAGTATATACTGTTAATAGCTCTAGAAATTGAGTGTGGGTATAGATAGCGGGGACCCCTAGCATAAAGGGGGTGCAAAACTACTAAGTGAATAGGCACAGGTGTCACATAGCCATAAGAATAGCCCAACACAAAAGAGTAAACTTACTTAGAATATTAAGAGTTGTATTGAGACTGTATCTATAACTCTGACTACGTAGATCAAGTGTGAACTTTGTAGATGATAAAGTCATTGTTCCATAGTGCCAAAGGTTGATCATGTTGGCACTCTAGAGAGTAATTAGCTGTCTGAAGAAGGTTGGTTGAACCAACGGAGCTTAAACTATCTTTAACCCCAAGCATGTGTGATTTTATGGGAGATAGTAGTTCAGTTCCAGGACCAGCTGCATCAACCCTCCTCAGAGTCCCAGATATCTGCCTCACATTTGCTAAGTAGTCTCCAAGCTTGTCCAAAGGAAAGGTTTTTTATGTATCACACTGAGGGAACAGTTTCCAGCAGGAGGTGAGTCTAGGGAGGCCAAAGGTGGTTCAGGAATGAGGAGAGAGTCTGCCCTTCTTGGAATCTGCACCCAACTGCAGGGACCCTGGAAGCTTCTCCTGGGATCCACACCCTGGGATCCTTTTCTTCCCATATTCCTGCCCAGTGCTGCTCAGAACCCAGGACATAGTCAGGGTCTCTGTGAGACTGTCAATGTGTATATCCCTGGCTCTGCACTGGAAAGGGAGAACCCTCAGCTTGTGTGTCCCGTGTTCTTTCCCCTCTGTATCACATAAACAAAAACAACCCCCTCACCTGTCACTTGCCATTCATTATAAGGGAGCAGATGTGGGGCCTTCAGTCAGTCACGTCATAAGAAGCAGGGTGATTATTTTCTCAGAAGGTGATGTGTTGTTTCTTGACTGTCTCTTTCAGCAATGAGGTGGTGAGGAGTGACCTAAAAAAGCTGCCAGCCCTTCCTACCCAAGCCCTGAAGGAGCACCCCTCCCTGGCCTACTGGTAAGATTCCCCATCCCAGAACCTTCTCACAGACAAGTCTTCAAGGAGGGCACAGGCTTCAGACCACTGAGCCTGACTCTGTCAGCTCCCACATGCCTCCTGGACTCCCTGCTGTGTCAGGGAACTTAGATGTTCACAACTGCTTTCAGAGTCAGAAGTAGTGGTTTATGCCTATAATACCAACATTTGGGAAGAATGGGGCAGAAAGACTGCAAGTTCAAGGCCAGCATAGGCTACACAGTAAGTTCCATGGGCTAGAGTAAAGCTCTGTCTCAAAGAAAGAAAGAAAAGAGAGAGAGAGAGAGAGAGAGAGAGAGAGAGAGAGAGAGAGAGAGAGAGTAAGAAAAAGCCAGAGACCATTATCTGTGTATATTTTCATAGCAAACATGTTAGATCTCTCCGTTAATAATATTTTTTATGATTTTACTTTTGGAATGGCACCTCCTGAAGAAGCCTTCCCTGTGCTGGTCCAGTTTCATGTAGGAATGCTGTGATGGATGACAGGATGTGGGAGGTCTGGAGGGGTGGGAAAGGCCGGGGCATCGTTTCCTTGGCAACAGAAGAAACAGGTTATTTTCTTTCTCCTTGGTGTTTCCTATATCCCAATTTAGCCCTTTGTAACATTATGCCATAGTTCATCAGCCGAGCTCTGAATTGCCTGATTCCACGTGATTTAGGCATTTGCGGTTGGGCCGTGGTAGAGCGGGGCTCACATTCCTGAGGAGTGTGTTGGAATCCGGCTGAGTACTTACACACTGACCTCTGCCCTCTGACAAGGACAGGGCTGTATCCCAGTGGTCCTTCTGACCCTTCTTAGAAAGCAATGTGGCTGCTCATAGTGTAAGACATAGTCGTGGCAGGACACCTGCTTCCCCAGGTGTGGCCTGCAACCCCAGCTTCTCAGAGGGCTGAGGCAGGAGGATTGCAAATTGAAGGCTTCCCTGAGCTATAGAGTGAACTCAAAGCCAGTAACTTAGTGAGATCTTGACTCAAAAAAAAAATGTTTAAGAGTTGGAATGTAATTTAGTGATACGATGTTTGCTTAGCATGTGTGAGGCCCTCAGTAGAAGAAAGAGAGGGGATGGAGGGGGGGAGAGAAGAGGGGATGGGATGGGGGGAGTGGAGGGGATGGGATGGGGGGAGTGGAGGGGATGGGATGGGGGGAGTGGAGGGGAGGAGAGGGGAGGGGAGGGGAGAGGAGAGAGAGAAGACAAAAAGCACTGAACCAGTTCATTCTAATAAACCACAACACAGAGCTCACTTGTAAATACATTCTCAAGTTTTTGAATTAGTATTCCTCCAGGTCTAGACACTTCCAGCAGTAAATAAACCAAGTATTCAGTTTTTCAAGCAGACTTGAGGATGCCTTCAGATTGGGTAGCTTGGGTCATACATAATGCAGAGTTCTTTAGTGAGATGAAACCCACACTCAGAAATCACTTTTCTCAGAGAAGCCCCACTCCTGAAGAGCGGGACTCAAAACTGTGAGCGCCTACCTGTAGACTGCCCTCCCCCATTCCACCTCAGACCTGATCCGTTACCATTCTTCCTTTGGGAATGTGTCTATAGATAAAGAACAGGCTTATGCCAAGGACTTCAAATTCAAAACCTGTCCAGGTGATATTTGTGGGTTGAAGGCCAGCCTGGGCTATCTAGTGAGACATTGTCTCATTAAAAAAGATTGATGATAATGCCTGGAGAGGCCAATAGTTCTCACATGCGGGGTAACTTACGCTCGAGAACTGTAACGTTGGTAGACAGTCTGGAGTCAGAATTGCCTTTGACCTAATTCATCCCTCAATCATGTCTTTATTTATTGTCTAACATTGTTAATCCAACCCCCAGGCCAATTGCAGGGCTCCTCCCTCCTCCCATTCTGGATCATTCTTGCATTGTCTCCAGTGCAAGATCCTCTGTGTTCATGTTACTAGTAATAGAGAAAGCCTTCCTTCTGGCTCTGCTTTCTGCCTTTTATCAGCATGACTATCTCTCTTCCTGAACAGCTGACCCTTAGCCATCTTAACAGTACATCCTTAGTCACGTGACCAGGCCAGCCCTTTCCTAAGGCCTCCCCCAGACCCATGAGCACACAGTCAACTGTCTAACACACTGGGAGAGTGGCAGGATGGGGAAGCCAGATGCCTTCAGTGACACACCCAGGCAGGAGCAAATCAACAAGGACCATCCAGGTGCTCAAAGAACCCATGGCCCCTCCACTTTGTCCCCACCATGCTGCTTTGTACTCAGCTGCTGTGGTCGGCTCTGGTTTTTCAACCTGTTTATGCAAATTTCCAAGAAGCAAAGCGAGTTCAATTTTCTGTAGCTTGTGAGTTTCTCATTCTTATTCTCTCTGGTCCTTAGACAGGTCCGAGGTATTAGGGTCACAGTCTGCAGGGCTAGGAACCCCTAACCTTTCCATAGGCTCCAGAGACAGGTGGGAACAGGATGAAGTGGAGTTGGACAGGCTAGATGAGTCCCCAGCTGGCATTGAGTATGTCATCACATGACAGGCCCCTGTTGACTTAATGGGAAGAAGGAAGTGGGAAAAGCGGAGGCGCGAGGAGGTCGCCACGGTGGCTTACCCAGCTGGCTTTAGATAGCAGGCAGCTGGACAAGGTTGGAGGTGGCTGCAAGTTTTGCAGCTGTCGGGCCCCACGAGACCTTATAGTGAGGCCAGTAGAACAGCTGCTTGTCAGTGTTTGGGACTCGGTGTTGTTGATGTTTCCTAAGCCTTGCTTATGTTCACAGCATCATCGTAATGACTTTCAGTCCCCACCCCCACCTCAGGGATGCTCTCGCCCAGAGCTAGAAAAGAAATAGGCTTGAGTCTCCATTGGTTGGCTTGACCACAGCCCTAGGAGTTGACCTCATCAAATCACAGTTAGGTGGTAGCAAACGTGTCATTGTAGGTCATGATCTTATTAAAATAGAGGCCCTTGATAAGCAGGAAAACAGAAGAGGGAAGAGAAGGTTCCACCTAACTTTGGGGGTGATGCATTAACAGTGGGTGCCCAAGATCAGTAAATGTAGTCTTGAGGGTACAACCCTTGTATCACACATGCTCCCCATCATGACGCTCTTATACAAAACTAAAGGAGTCCCCTTGTTGATGAAGTAACAGGTGAGTCAGTGGGAACCAAAGTCAAAGCTGTAGGACAGTTATGGAGGATGAAACTTTTAAGGTTGTCCTTAGTAGTGAGACATAAGACCTTTTGCCAACAATTGTCCCCCTTTCTTTCTGTGGGCTGGCTGTAGTGGGAGCTGCCACTGTTCCCACCTTTCTTGGCACCAGTCACTACCCCAGGAAGACCGTACCATTACCCCGACCACACTCCATTCTGTCAGAGAAATATTGGCTAGCCATTGTCACCAAGGGACCATTTAATCTCCTGTTAATTTTAGAAATAAAACCTCAAAAGATAAATGAGCTGTAATCTCATTCTGTTAGCTAGTATGTTGCTTTCCCAATGTGTCCCTGGGACTTTTATTAACCAGGCCCAAATTCCAGAATGTTCTCTCTTACTTGGAAGCTCTGAGTCCTTAACTGCTCAGAACAGTTTGGCCCGGAGCACTGGGTGGGAGCAACATTACCCCTCTGCCCCAGATCCTGTGTTGACGGGACCTGTAAATGAGGAGGTCAGAAGGGAGAGAGAGCCAAGCAAGTTTAGCCATAGCATCCTCTGTGACTGGCGACAACTGCTTCTTCATGTTTTCCTAGTCCATGGCATCTTGCAAAGAACAGCGCCCCTCCGCCCCCAAACCTGCACGCTAATATTATCCAACCGATTAGCAGTCAGGGGTAAAGATAATGTAAATCCTCTGAGGAGAAAATGGACTTTTCTATCCCTACCATGTCTAAGAGACTTCACTTGAGTGGCATTGAGACATGTCAGTTCAGGACATGGTTATTTTCCAGCTCAGCTTCTTCAGAGGTTCTCAGGAGGAGGGAGGGTGAAGTCTTAGCATCTCGGAGGGTAGGATGCTCAACCTCTAATACCAGAATTCTTTCCTTCTCATTCTAGTGAAGACAGAGTCATTGAGTACTACAAGAAGCTGAATGGCCAGACGAGGGGCCAAGCAATCGTGAAGTAAGTGGCCCTTCTGAGTACACACTAAGATTGTGTTTGGGAGCTGGAGAGACACTCAGTCAATAAAGTGCTTGCCCTGGAAGCAGAGGGACTCTAATTCAGAACCTCAGAACCCACATAAGAAAACAAAACAGGCATGGCAGTGTGCACATAATGCCAGCACTGGAAGGCAGAGGCAAGCAGCTCCTCAGACCTCCCTAGCCAGCCAGCCTAGCTGGTCCAGTGAGCTCCATAGAGGAAGACATCCAACATCAACATCTACATATCCGCAATTGTATTTGCAGATGCTCATGCACATGAACACATACACACATATATACAACACAGATGCATGCACACACACACAAAACTGTGTGTTAATGGGCCATATATCAAGGTGGTTGATTCTCCTTGGAAAGATGTTTAGGGAGAGGGATGTTTCTACTAATTTCCAAGTTAATAACCACTCCAGAACTTCATTAAACACAGCTACATAGATAGATAGGTAGGTAGGTAGGTAGGTAGATAGATAGATAGATAGATAGATAGATAGATAGATAGATAAGATATGATATGATATGATATGATATGATATGATATGATATGATATGATATGATATGACACCACTTCTGCCTAATAGCCCTTATATGCATTGGTGTGTGTGTTGTCTTCACAGCTACATGAGTATCGTGGAGTCTCTCCCAACCTACGGTGTCCACTATTATGCAGTGAAGGTAAGTGATCTCAGTTGCTGAAGTCTGCCCACGCTGTCCTGAAAAAGCAAGCAAGCAAACAGAAAATTCTCTTATTTTTTTAGTCTGAAGATTTTGAGGGGAATAGGAGTTGACGGAGGCTGGTTTGGTCAGAAAGATTGCCTGACAGGGAAAATTGAGCAACTGAATTTTATCCCTAGGGTACCAACACTTGATAGAGTAACACTCCAATACACTTTTATTTTCTTTTGTGAAGTAATGTAATAAATCTCTTCTTCCCTTCAGTCTCAGAGGAATCCTGGGAAATCAGGGCTTCAGGGCCTCTCACTAGGAAGGCTCCGTCAAATACAAGAAACTAGAGAGACCAAAAACTTGTGGCAGAATGTGGTGTTTCTCTTGGGGGTCTGATGCCACATAGTCAGCTTTCCAAGAAGAACTGGGAGCATTTAAAGAATCTGAGACTGTGTTCTTGAATGTGGCATCGTCAAATCCAATGTGGCATTAGCTTCGTTCTAAATTCTATTTAGTTCATCCACACTGTGCCACATTAAGATCTCTTTCTGACATGATAAAGATTCACACCTTTCTCAAGCCTAAGTTAGTGTCAAAAGCAGGACCACCCAGTCTCTGGGAACTTCTTATGTTCCAGATGAGGAGGGTGAATCCCCTCAGAAGTCCAGCCCCCTAGGCAATGTTGTGTAGGAGGATGTGGCCACTGACCCTCAAATAAAGTTCATGAAAAGGGACTTAGAATCCCCCTGTGCCAGGGTTCAGCACCCTGACCTCACAGTGTCACTGAGTTTCATCTTGTTTTATTCTGTAAAATCAGTGCCATGCACAGTAACCCCCAGAGAGCAACAGGCAGCAACATAATGATGTTACACTACATGTAACTGTCTGTCTGTCTGTCTATCTATCTATCTGTCTATCATCTACCTATTTATCTATTCATCTATCTTCCTAGCATGCACAAGACCCCGAGTGCAATCCTCCATGCTGCAAATAAATGAATACATATTTTTTAGAAATGGGGTGGGGTAGTTCAGTGGTAGAGTCCACATTTAAAACATGTAAGGCCATGAATTCAATTCCCAACACCAAAAGAAAAGAAAAGATTGTAAAGAAATCATATACTCCTGGAGCTTTAAATGATTTTTCCCCCAAAATTTATTCCTTTTGTCTTTCATCTTTTTGCTTACCTTGAAATAACTCCTTCTGGCAAATATTTGCAAACCGCCATACTCATTTTGAGTTTCCAGGACTCTTGTGATGAAGACATTGATTAAGTCATTCACACATGCAGAAATTAGTTCAAATCTTGGGGAAAGGCTGCTTGCTGTGCCCAGTGTAAAGTCTTAGCATTTGGAGCATTTGGGAACCACTCAGAATTATCCTCAAGAGAGCTACGGTTCTCACTCAGATGATAAGGAGTATTATATATAAAATGTATAAACAGAGGGGCCCATGGTTTATAATCCAGTCCTAGTAATGTTCTGGCTTCAGTCTTGCTACGTGAGTCCTAAAAGTCCTCATTCAGCTTTCTTCCTAGGTGAGCAGGATATCAAGACAGGCATTCCTTAGTCTCTGCTGCCACCGGCTCAGTGTGGCTGGGAAGGTTTAATTTCCGTTAAAGTTTGAGCACTCAGCTTCAATACCTTTGTTCTCTGAAGGGAAGAAGCCCCTTTCTGTGGTCTCCTGGATTCTTTCTAGGTCTGACAGACAGTGGCAGTTTATTTGATCAGAAAGTCATTCATTTTCTTCAAAACATTGAACATATTTCATGTTTTTCTGTATGGCAAGTGAGAGGCTCAGCCTAGCTTTGGAGGGGGGCAGGGGACAGGGTACTTGCACTTGTTCATTAAGAGGTGAAGATGGAGGCTGGGGAGATTTTCCATTGGTAAAGTGCTGTGTAAGCATTGGGACCTGAGTTCAGATCCCCAACACTCAAGTAAAATGTCGAGTGCTAGTGAGGCAGAAGTAGGGGGAAGCCCTAGGGCTCACAGAGCAACCAGTGCTAGCCACTCAGTGAGCTTCCGATTCAGGGGAAGAACGTATCTCAAAAAAGTATAAGGTGGAGAGAGAGTGGAGACAGGGGAGGCAACCGATGTCAGCCCCTGGCCTTCACATGTAAGTCCATGGATGTGTATGCACAACCTGTACACACAGGAACAGGCATGCATGCTTACACCAAATAAGTAAATAAATGAGATAGGGATACAGATATCCTGGCTGTGGTTCTGCTTGGAAACAGAGCCAATTGCCCAACTCAGGCTTGGTCCCCAGCGCTGTTCACATAACTGAGCATGCACCCACAATGGGTACATCTGTTAAGACATACAGTACAGAGGGGTTCCTTCTACTCCAGAGACACTGCCGTTTCCCTTGTCATCAGCTGAGGCAGGAAATCTCTTGGTCTGTGTTCATCTTCTCCAGCCCCATGTTGACCTCTATTCCTTTAACATCCTAGGACAAGCAAGGCATACCATGGTGGCTGGGACTAAGCTACAAAGGAATCTTCCAGTATGACTACCATGATAAAGTGAAACCACGCAAGGTAAGGGTGCCCTCTTCTGTGGGCTTAAGGCTTTTTTTTGAGAGAGGAATGGGGTAGATGTGAATTAACATTGCATAGCCTGAGGGCTCACCAATCCCATGCTAATGCAGGTATATATAAATTACTCCACAGTGATCCTGTCTGAGTTTCCTGGGTAAATATTTTTCTCTCCCAGTTTCTAAGGAAACAAAGTGTTATAATTACTTAAGGGAGGGTGTTTGGCTCCATTCTCCAAGAACAGATGGGCAAATGGGCTGAGGAACTATCATATATGTTCCTTTTCTTAGGAACATTAACTCCCTTGAATCCTGAGGCCAATCTGAGTTCTTCATGATGGTTTTTGGAGTAAGATCATAGGTCAAAAGAGTGTACAAGTCATGGAGAAATGAAATATAAAGAATTTAAAAAAAAGTCTTGAAACTCTGGCAAATACCTTTATAGCATCATAGAAGTGAACAGAGACTAGAGTTATCTGCCCCAGAGAAAGGGAGTCAGGTCACTGGAAACACAAATGTGTTTGAATTTTGTTTTCATTTGCATATTTTCCAAACCAGAACAAATTGAAAACTTAAATGGCAAAATTTGGGGGTAAGAATATACTTTTGCACACCTGGGATGATCACACTCTATGCACATACCTGGGTTGACTACATTCTTTGCACACACCTGGGCTTGCCACACTCTATGCACATCTGGGCTGACCATATTCTAAGCACACACCTGGACTGGCCACACTCTATGCACACCTGGGCTGACCACATTCTTTGTCCACACCTGGGCTGACCACACTGTGTGAACATCTGGGCTGACCACACTCTATGCACACACCTGGACTGGCCACACTCTATGCGCCCCTGGGCTGACCACATTCTATGTCCACGCCTGGGCTGACCACACTGTGTGAACATCTGGGCTGACCACACTCTATGCACACATCTGGGCTGACCACACTCTATGTACACATCTGGGCTAACCATACTCTATTCACATCTGGGCTGACCACACTCTATGAAGTAAACACCATCCTCTTAGTCACCTTCTTCATCAAGTTGGTAGTGGGAAAACGGCCTGTGGTGGGAAGAATTTTCCCTCAGTTGACCAGCAAATCATGTCATTTCCAAGTGAAGCTGGTGAACAGATGATGGAGTTGTTCCCTGGGAACGATGCAGCAAGAACCTGCCTCTTTGGGGGAGTGTGTTGCTTTGTGTGGCAAGCCCAAAACCTCTGTTTTCCTCTTCCACATAAGAAGTGACTAGTGCCCCAGGTTCCTGCTTTCACCCCCCAGGTTTCTGGGCTGTAGACCTGCACCTCTTCCGTGCTGTGTCTTTCTGTTTCCCCTGGTACTTTCTCCACCTGGCCTTTCTAATTCTCTAAGTTCCCTCTCCACTCCCTTCCTTCTTCTCTCTTACCTCACCTCTTCTCTCTTTCCAACCAGCCCAAGTGACTCTTTTTTCTATTTACAAATGACAAACAATCCCAGCACCTTTCACAAAGTCCTGGTTGCAACATGTGCAGCTCTGCCTTGTCCTCCTTGGAAGGGAAAAGCTGGGAGGACAATATAGCTTAGGACATTCACAGTCATGGGCCTTATGGACACCCAGGGAACTGTGCAGAGTAGGCACTTAGGTATTCAGTTGGAGCTTAAGAGTGTGAAGGATTTCCACAGCATAAGTGAACGGAGGCCAGTGTGGCTAGCTGGGGCCCACAGCAGGATGCAATCTTTCCCTCTAAACTATGTGAAAGGCATGCCAGCAGCATTGGAGCTTCTGCCCACGGTGTTCCTGTGTAGGTGTTTGTTCTTAATTTCTCTTAAGTATAGTTCTAATGAAAGTAATAAGATAGCACTTGGTACATGTAAAACACAAGAGAGACACACAACATAAATTAATCACTCTTCGTTAGACCTGAGTTTGGCTTCTAGCATTCACAGAAAGTTCTTAAAAAAAAAAAAAAAAAAAGGAGGAGGAGGGGACAATATCAACAGAGAAGGAAGGATAGCAGTTGGGGCTCCAGAAAAGACATTCATAAGTGGAATTTTTCAGTTCTTGGTCATAGAAATCTCTGGGAGACAGCCAGATGCTGCCTGTCTGGGCTCATGTATAGTTTGGGGGTCCCTGGGAAATGAGTGCACAAGCTGAATATAAAGTTAGGAACAGTCGCCGGGCAGTGGTGGCGCACGCCTTTAATCCCAGCCCTAGGGAGGCAGAGCCAGGCGGATCTCTGTGAGTTTGAGGCCAGCCTCAAACTACAGAGTGAGTTCCAAGACAGCAACCAAAACTACACAGAGAAACCCTGTCTCGGAAAAAAAAAAGTTAGGAACAGTCCTTGCAAAACCCCCTCAGGCCAAGTGAAGCTTCTGCTTCATTAGCTTTGAGGGGTCTATGTGTCTGTCAAGATGTTAATGGGGCTGAAGGACAAAACCAAGGAGTGAATGAAAGCCACAGTTATGAAATCCCGGCTGCTGGAAGACTTGGGAAGAAGTCCTTTTTCTCTGTACCCGACATTGTTAGCATCACAAACCCCCTTTTTGTTGCCTGTAGGAAACAGGAGAGGCTCTGAGCAACTCAGAGCACTGGAACAAGCACTAAGGAGGTGCACAGACCTGGCAGAGAGTTATCATTGCAGGCTTGCTTATAAAGCACTCCAAGTCCCTCCTAGGTACCTCCAGACCAGTGGTTCTTAACCCCCACTGTGTGTCAGAAACGCCCAGGAAGATGGAATTCACGGCTACTTTCCTGGGTCCACCTTGTCTCCCTGACTCTCCTCTATGCGTGTGGGAAGTATTACAAGGATATCCACGTGGGGTCTGGAGATGGGCACCATCACTCATGGCCATCTGTGCTTCCCACACTCAGACTTGGGGAAAGTTGGCCGGGCATAGCTGTCATGGCTGCATTGTCCCTGGGTACTGAGAGCTGGAGTATTCCCAAACACGGAGGATGAGTGTGCTGCACACACGTGAGGGATGTCCTCCAGGTGGTAGCACGCCCTCCTGGCACTGGGGCCAGGTACATCTCCAGCACCTTAAGCCTCCAGGGATGCTCAGGAGATGATCAGTGCCCAAATCTAAGTACATGGAGGCACCTGTGGCAACAACTGCCTCTCCTGCCCAGGCAGCTCTTCCCACCCAGCAGCAGGCAGAGGCCCTCGCTGACACTCTGACCCACTTATGCAGCTGTCGCATGGTACACAGTACTAAGAGGCAGCCTTCAGGTTGAGGCGGTGGCAAGCTGAGCTCTCCCCCTTCCTTTGAAGGGCTAAGGGCCGATCTCTGTTATGCCACCTGTGGCCATCCATACAAGTGTTCCCATAGGGCTCGTTAAAAGTGTCTCCTCAAATCCCTAAGAGTCCAGAGCCGATGGCCATCTCAGATCAGACAGGACAGTAGCGTGAGTCCTGGTTCTCTGGATGAGAGGCAGCTTGCCACTCCAGTGTCAGCATCTACCCTGTGCCGCCGAGTCCCACTCTGAATGGCTTTGGAAAGGTCGAGTGCAGAGTAAGCTGCCTCCGAGCTTGAGTAGGAGAAAGAATTACGCTTCCTGCTAATAACACCCCACAGCGTACTCCCTGGATCTCTCCTGCAAGCAGTTCTTCTTTCCCTAAGTACAGCTCTCAATACAAGCTATGAACTGCATTCCAAACGGTTTCTGAAAAAGCCAGGTGTTATGAAAAGGCCTGTAACTCCAGCACGCTGCTCGATAGGCAATACAGGTCATCCTGGGCCACATAGCAAGATCTTGTCTCAAAAAAAAAAAAAAAAAAAAAAAAAAACACGTAAAACAGACAAAATTTAAATTTAAGGAAGAGGCAGGGGTATCTCATGAGTTTGAGGCCAGCCTGGTTCCAGGACAGCCAGGGAGGGCTGTTACACAAAGAAACCCTATCTCAGAAAAAAAAATAAATAAATAACAATTCAGTTTAAAGCAGAACAAAAACTTAGGTTTCTTTTCTTGCTTTTTTTTTTCCGCCCCTCAGAGTATGTTTTATCAGAAACAATATGACATGTGGGGACTTCGGATTTTTGTCTTTTGAATGTGTTCAGAAGAATTCAGAAGTTCTAAATGAAAAGAACCAGGGGCTGGAACCTGGGGGCAGGAACTGAAGAGGAGGCCGTGGGTGAAAGCTGCTTCCTGGCTTGTTCTCCATGGCCTGCTCAGCCTGCTTTCTTACACAGCCCAGGACCACCTGCCCAGGGCTGGCACGGCCCACCGTGAGCTGGGGCCTCCTTTACCACTCATTAATCAAGAAGACGCCCTACAATCCTGCCCATAGGCAGTCTAGAGGCGGTTTTCATCTGAGCCTCCATCTTCCCAAATAACCCTAGCCGGTGTTAAGGTGACAAAAAAACTAACCAGCACAGATGCCAGCACAGATTAGCCCTCCCAAGGCCCTGAAGCAGAAACAAACAGGATTTTAAAGTGAATGCACTCTATCATAGGTGTACACCCCCCGCTGCGATGCCCCGGCTTGTATACATGACCGTTTCTGAGAGCACATTATACCATGTCGTATGGGCCTTTATGGAGCCCCTCCATCCACTCTCAGGAAATACTGCTTACATCCTTCACCCGGTGAAGATTTCCCTCTCAGCCTCAGCCTGCCTCGCAGATTCTCAGCTCCTGTCAATACTCACATACCACATACGGCTTAGCAATGGCCCTTTGGCTGCTGGTCCTCTCTTTTCTCAGTGGCCAGCAGTCCTGTTCGTCTTTATGTACATTAATGTAGAATCAGAGGAGGAGGGGATCTCTCTCTCTCTCTCTCTCTCTCTCTCTCTCTCTCTCTCTCTCACACACACACACACACACACACACACACACACACACACTTCTGTCTTAGTTTAGCAATGAATAACGAATGGGAAGATCATGGTGGCCAAGGAAGAACAATCCTGCCTCTCCATAGGTTATTGTCTCCTGTTTCATCCCGGTTGCCGACTACCTTTAACATGTGTGCACACCCAGTTGCCAACCACCTTTGACATGTGTGCACACGGGTGT